AAATTTTGAAAATCAAGCAAATGAAAGACTCTTCTTAAACCACTATCTAAGCACACTGTCTGGGACACTGCTCTGACTCACTTTTCCTTTAAACAACAAATATGGCGGTGACTAAGGCAACTTAAGTAACAGACTGAACTGCCCTCACCATGGATCCTGTGGTCTTTAGTAAAATGATAATCTGATTAACAAGCAGGAAACATTTTCCCACATACATGGAGATATAACCTCATATTCAAATAATCCTCTGGAGTAGGAAGGGAATGAATAATGGCCCATTTAAATGAACATTTTGAAAAGCTGTAGGAGAGTAAAGATTTCTGAAGATATCTTAAGATATTATCACATTAATAAGCTATTTCTCTCACTTAGAAACCCTATCCTGTTATATTACAAGAGGCAAATTGACATCTTTCCTCTTTCCCTAATATGTACTTGGTAGGTAACTTCCTAAACAACTTTTATTCATGGATGATACAATAAATTATTCAGTATTTTCCACAAAAGGAATAACTGAGAATAAGATTATTATAAGAAACACAAACCTTGATATAACTGTGTTCTCCTTTTTGCTTCCGTCATTTAAGTTAGCTCTCTCCAATAAATACCTTTCTGGATTTCTAAATGTCTGCATTTTGGCCTTTGCTAATCAACCTCTTCATGAGTTTTCAAGATTTTCAGAACACAATGTCCCTTTAGTCTCTCTAACCCCAAAGAGCTCTTCTATCTCTGAGGTATGAATTTCAGTTAGTGTCCTGATCTACATCTCTATAAAGCTGTCGTGTGGGTGACTCAAACTAGACATGTTCATTTTCCCAACCTGCAGCAAACTTGCTCCCTGACTGTGTAAGGGACACAGCTTAGGAAGGCACATCATCCTTTATCCAGATGCTTAAGCCAGAAATCTGGTGCCATCCTTGATTTGCTTCCTCTCTTCCTTAACCCTACATTCAGTCCAGCTCTATCTCCTGCTGTTTCTTCTTCCTCAGTGTCTCCCAAATGTGCTGACTTTGCTACATGCTTACTGCCATCTCCCTAATATAGACGTTCATAACTTTTCACCTGGATGACTGCTTTATCATTAGTCACTATGTATCTATGATTCCCATGTCTGTCTAGCAGACAGAGTGACCTTTTCAGAATATAAATCTGACCATGTTACTGTTCTGACAACACTGAATGTCCTTCCATTGCCCGAAGAGCAGAGGTCAAATTCCTTAATGTGGCCCTGGGCCCTCAATGACCTGACCCCTGCCTATCTCTCAAACATCATCTCACCATACTCTCACCAACAAGCCATACGCAAATGTGTCGGTTTCCTGATATCGCACACTTTTAAACCTCTATGCCTTTGCGCAGGCGGTTTCCTTGGCTCACAGAACACCCTTTCTTCTCTGGGAAAAGAATCTTTGAGCCAGATTAGGTTTCCCCTCTCTGTTTCCCACACTCATCATACTTTATAACCACTTGCCCCATTCCTGTCTTCCCACTAGAACGTAAGTACTAGGAGGAGGTATCACGTCTGTTTTGTTCATTCCAGTATTCCCAGAGCAGGGCACAATGTAGTCAGAATAAATACTTGTTAACTAAATGAGTAGTGTGATTCTAACCGAAAATTCACCATTAAGAATTTAGAATGAACATTAATTATTAGAAAACATGAGAAATTTCCCCCAAAATGGCATAACTGGTCACAACTGATCTTTGGTGGATATCTGTAACATCCCAGAGTTTAAATCCTGAATGTTACGTCTGTAGTCAAATTTGCACTTCCTCAGACCTATAATCCAGGCTGGTGTTTAGCTGCCCAAGCTGACATCCGGGCTGACTCATATTAAAATATGACTGTTTGAGGTTAGCTTCCACAGCTGTTGTAGCACTGTAATTGTCAATCATTTGCCTTTTAGATCAGAGTTTAACTGACTTGGAGGAAGAAAACAACAGAAGACTTACTTTTCAGTCTTTTAGCAGAAAACAATTAGTATACTTCCCAATATGTGTCCATTTACAATTCTCTTAAATTACATATATGCCTCAGAAGAAAACAAAAATGGAGACTAGAATTTGAGGCTATACTCCTAAGTTGCTTTTTATTTTTTTGAGACAGGATCTTGCTGTGTTGCCCAGGTTTCCCAGGCCAGAGTGCAGCAGTAAAATCATGGCTCACTGCAGCTTTGACCTCCCGGGCTCCAGCTATACTCCCGCCTCTCAGCCTCCTGAGTAGCTGGGACTATAGGTGCACATCACCACACCCAGCTAATTTTTGTATGTTTTGTAGAGAATGGGGTTTCATGATGTTACCCAGGCTGGTCTCAAATTCTTGGGTTCAAGTGACCTGTCTGACTCAGCTTCCCAAAGTACTGGGGTTACAGGCGTGAGCCATCACGCCTGGCCTACATTCCTAAGTTTTTAACTTGTCCTCTATGGATAAAATTTTAATATACAGTCTTTAAAAATAAAACCTGAGCTTTCCCCAAATGCTAAAAACTAAATAAACCATTTTAACCTTTACTCCATTCAGTCAGCAAATATTCCCCAGGCACTTCAGGCTTGTGGTAAGTGCTGTGGGGAATTATATTTTGATGTGTTTTATAATGTGCTATGATTCTCTAGTTCTTGTCACTCTGTGACCCTTCAGACAACAGCTGGCCATTCTCTTCCTATGTGTCAGGAAAAGGTTCTTACAAAAGAACACAGGAGGAAAATCTTGGGCCTTTAAACTTCAAAAGCCCAAGCCCTGAAAGACTTGGGGGATAACATTTTTTAAAACTATGTAATCGGTTGGAACATTTTTTCCACTCCCAGATTAGGAAAAGAATCTATGTCAGAAGGAGAGGAGCAAATATGAGAAGAGGGGAGAGATGAGGTGGAGGGGAAGAAGACAAGAGGGAGAGGAGAAAAGGAGAGGGCAGGGGAAAAGAGGAGGGGAGGGGAGAGCCAGAGGGAGGCAAATCCTGAGAAATTCACCATATGGGGGCCTGTTATAGACCTTCTCAGTCTCTATCCAGCTAGAGAGAAAGTTGGAACCCACAGGTAGGCTTAGGGACCTAAGTAGATGGGAACCCATTCCACCATTCCCAATAGGGTTGATAAAAGCAATAAGATGGAGTGTTCCTGTGTCCGTCATTGTATCAGTTAAGAGTCAATGGGAAAAGCAGAAACAACCCTGAGCATTCAAAACTGAGGAGATTTAATTTTAATGGGGGGGTGGCTACATGGGTGGTAGAGAAACTGAGGAGCCAAATTGGACAGTGACAAAATCTAGAGACTAGCAGCAGTAGGAAGCCACTACTGTCCCTATGCTGGAAGGACAATGGGAAGATATGGTGTTATTGAAGTTCAGGGGCCAAGGTCATTCAGGGAAGCTGGAACCACAGCAGGCCTGTGGTTCACAGGGGAGTAGACCACTAAGGAAATGTAGCTGATGATGATGATGCAAAGAAAGGTAGAGGAAAACACTGGACTGTCCTTTCTACGGGCCCTTTAATCATTCACAAATGTCTCACAAGCACCAACCCTAACCTGGAATCTAGCTGACTGGTGTAAGTCACCCTCTCGCAGAGCAAGGGGAGGGTGAGTCATGGGTTTGGGAGCAAACACATCCATGATGCGGGAGCAAGAAAATTTCTGCAGCAGATGACTAGGACTGTGAACCTAGGACAGCCTCACAGGATCTCCATGACCCAGAAAGACCCAGAGGAACCCAGAGCAAAGCAGACATGACAGGGAAGCCTGAAGACTTGAAGGGGCCTTGGAGTCTGAACAAGAAAGAGAAATGAAGGATCCACCTGGACAGGAAACTAAATACCAAATGGGCCCTCACACATCTCAGTGAATTCCAGGTGGACAGAAGACAGCATTGAGAAGACCAGACACTGACCCCACCATAATGAGATGACTCCATGTTACTGCTCCCTACACACACTCTCATATCACACGTGAGTGATATGGAAGGAAAGAGGAGATCATCTAGCAGAACGGAGACTGAAACCAAGTTCATTCATAAATAAAGAAAGGAAAGAACCTAGAACAATGAACAGATCTAGTCCTTCATTTAAAAGAGCCCACTGAATGTTGAGAAGGATGAACACATAACACAGATGTCTGCAACGCAGTGAGAAATGGAGAGAAACAGTTCATGTTAAAGGATGTACTGGAGCTGGAGATGCACGTGGAGAAATTCCAGTGCTTGCCTGCAAGGTAGGGCCTCTCAGAGGAGGCCCTCACAGACAGGTGATATTTGATCTGAGTCTTCAGGGGTGAATAGGGATTTAGCAAGAAGATGGAAGAGGGATCCTTACTTCCCATATGGTCTTCCTAGATTCCTCCCAATGCATGATTTTCAAGAGAAGTCCATATATTCCTTATATAACTATTGCCCATTTAATTCTTTCAGAAGATGGCAAATCTCTCAGAGTTATCCTCCTTTTGATTAGTAAATGGGGCAGTCCCAGAGGGGTAAGATAGATGTGGCCTGAGTTTCAACCCTGATGAATAGAATCAACAGCTTCCTTTATGTCTCTTCCATGTTCCTTCCTTGTTTAAGGAACTCATTTAAGGAAAGGAGTTCTTTAAAATATATCCTTTTGTAGATTTGCTGAGGGCATTTCTAGACTTCAGTCTTGAATTAAAGACTTAGATCTCAGGGCATTCAGGTAGTCTTATAAAATGTGCAATCCATAAGAAAAATATAGTTAAGCCATCTAACATATTATTTCCACATTTACCAAACTTCTATAATGAAACAAATTTCAAATTATCCTGACATACTCTTATCTGTCATGACTTTCCTCAAAATACTGTATTTTGTTATTTTTAAAACAAACATGACTACTGATTCACAAAGAAACTTTTCTATCACCTTCTATAAACAATAACCCTAAATTTAACTTTTATAATAGAATAAGAAATAAAACATATCTCTCCATTGTTTACAAAATAGCAAATAACTGTATTAATGAAACAATAAAAGTCATTGTACTGTTTTGATTTTTTTTTACCTCATTAGAGATATCTGTTCCAGAGAGATCTATTGATACTAACGAAAAGATGTTTACAATATATGCAATTCCTTGGGCAGTCAAATGTTCACAATTTCGTAAACTCAAGTAGTTTAAATTAGGGCAGCTGAAAGAAAGCAGCATGAATTAATTTTAGCTGTCAATCATATTGTCAGTGAGCAATTTCTTCATACAAAAACTATCTTGGAAAAACAAATGGTATTGAAGCAAGGATTTTCTTTTACTCAACAAAAATTTTAAGACTAAAAGTAGAAAGTAATTTGGCATTATGAAGTTGGATGAAAGGGCAGCAGATTATTATATGACTTTCTGTAGTTTCATATTGCAATTTCTAATAAGAAAAAAAAAATATCACATACATATCAAAAACTATCACATAAGCACCACAATGAATGACCAGTAAAAGTGCAAGTTAAGTCCCCTATTTATCCCTTACAAGTCTGCTACAGGAATTGTACAAGACTTTTGACAAGAGGGGAGTCAAGAATAAACTAACCAGCCAGAACACCTCTTGGAAAATGCTAGAGTAAAGGTTTACTTAGAGATAATCTTGAAAAAGTACAGACAAGCCACCCATATCTAGATAGTAGTTATTTCATGAATGACTCCATCTCAGATGTAATTTATATATAATAATATAATATAAAAATTGGTTCAATCTATGACTTTGACGTCTTTTATATAGTTTCACTGAATAATCAGTTTTTGGGCATCTCTGATGTTCCCCCAAATATCATGAAATCTCTGCTTTTAGGAGTCTCATCTCTCCTATTATCAAATATACAATTACTAATGATATGATGTAAAAGACTGTTTTATCATACCGCTCAGATAGTTTCATAACAGAGACATCGCTTAGCTGCACACAGTTGCTTAAATTTAGCTCTCTTATCCTTACACTTGCAGGACCATCAAGAAATTGCCTTAGTCCCACATCACCAATTCTGTAGGGAAGAGTGAGAAAAATTTTACATGTGATTCTATATATAAACATATATAATATTAAAGTAATAGCTATCACACCCAATATATTTCCAAAATAGCAAGGTAATATCTATATACTGGTATTTTGTCAACATTTTGAAACCCAATTTTTTTAAAGTAGATTTTAACGTAATAAAAAAGTATAAATGAGAGGAATGGGAGAAGTATTAATTAAAATGTTATTTATGTTCCTTTGTTCATAATTTTTAATAAGACAGATGGCCCTCAAGGTCTTTTTCTCTTGGGTTAAAATGTGATCAAGTTAACTAATCCCTGATACCATTGCCTGCAAAAGAAAAAGACCAAAACTTAGGAGAATGAAAACCAAGACTACCAGTCAAACTACTGCCAGAATTTTGAAGGAATTTTCACTAACTACAAGGTGAATCTGCTGGACAGGAAACTCAACATGAGGCCTTTGGCTTCTTTCCCTCTGAATCAGAGAAAACCTGATGCTGGATTACCTTGACCTCAGCCTTCCCACACTATCCTAATCAGAAACTTCCTCTGTGTGTCAGTGCCATACCCCTATCATGTCAATCCTGCTTTGTAAATGGCCAGATGTCCGTTTGGCCATCAATTCCCTGTCTTTTGTTGGGATCTTCATTTCTAATTCCATTTGAGAACCACCAGATCCTTCTAAGAAGCATTTCAGAAAATAAAGCAGGACAGGAGTTTGCATCAATGCATTCCTAAGAGGCGGTTTTCACAACAGCTCTACAGGTAGGCATACAGATGGGAAGAGCACTGGGAGCAGAACATGCTGATTGCTGACATCCTTTACACCCTTTGTTGGTTCAGATTTGCAAAGAACCGAGCAGTAAAGGCAAAAGATGTTATCCTGTTTCAGCTGAAAGAGCCATAGTAGGTGGATGCCTGCTGTGCCCATCTACCCATCTTCCACCTCTAAGAGGGGGAGTGTGCCAGCACCTGGGAAAGCAATTAAGGGCGTGTGTGTATGTGTGCGCACTTGCGCACGCAGAAATTCATATTATAGTCAAGAAAGGATTAAAAGTCAACGGAAAAGATTATTGAGATAATGATCCAAATTAATTGGTCAATGAAGTTAGGAAGGGCCAAACCTGGGTGTGTATCAAAAGTATCCATGCTGTTTTTTTTTTTTTTTTTTTTTTTTTTTTTTAATACACAAGCTAGGGTTCCATCCCTAATGATTTAGACTCAATAGCTCTGATATGGGGCTTAAGCATCTATAGTTTTATTCAGCTCCTCAGGTGATTCTGATACCAGAAGATTTTTACTTTTAAATCCTTTCAAATATGTATTTTTAATTTATCTTTTCATTGCTGATTCTTGAGTTGCTTTGTAGTAAGAGAATACAATTTGTTGATAAAAATAGTTTGAAGGTTGTTGGAACTTGCTTTTAAACTTTGTCCATGGTTGATTTTTTAAAGGATTGATGTGTGTTTGAGAAAAGTGTATATTCTTTAATGCTCCAACTTACCATTTTAGGTCTAACTCTTACACATAAATTTTGAAATCTTAAAACTCTGATACTAAGCTTTATCTTTTTACCCTATGTTATACTTTTTCATCCTCCCTCTGTTGTCATTTCTTCAAAATGATCTTCCAGCTCTATAATTCCCTGAGTTCTAATCTGCTGATCAGCAATCCATTGTTTATTTGAATAACTATATTACATCATTTGTTTCTAAAAGTTAGGTTTTTTTCCCCAGATAAATCTAATTGTTTTATCATGTTTGGTTGTCTGCTCATATTTCTGATTCCATTTTTTATTTCTTCAAACATTTCATACATGGTTACTTAACATTCTATGTCTGACAATTCCTATATTTGAATTACCTGAAGGTCAAATGTATTTTGCTGTTTCTGTGACTCTTTCTCACAGTGACTCATATCTTTGTGCATTTTGGCAATCTTTGACTTTGGGCACCTATTTATTTGATCTTAATCTCTAGCCTGAGAAGCTTTGTGCTAATGTCTTCCAGGAGCTCGGGGACTACCTCCTGAGACCACTCTGCCCCACTTGAAGAGGTTCAAACCCTGCAGAAGTCTCAGGTTCTACCTCCCTACTATGAGTCTTGCTCAGAGCTGATTCTCTCAAAGGCAGTATTGTCATGAAATTTGTGCTTAGGACTTCTCAACCTTTTATGTTTGCTGGCTACTCACTATTCATCTCAGTGAATTTGTTCATTGAGAGAGTAGCAAAGAATTAGGGGATTGAGGGCTATTGGATATTTCTCTTACTCTTTGTGAGCTCAGTAATATATTGAAAATATATTTCATCAAGGATCTGAACTATTTTTGGCACAGCCCTTTGAAATGTCTTGTCACCTCTACTTCTGGAGGCAAAAAACTTCCATTTAAGATTAATTAGGCAAGGTGCGGTGGCTCACGCCTGTAATCCCAGCACTTTGGGTGGCCAAGGCAGGTGGGTCACCTAAGGTCAGGAGTTCAAGACCAGCTTCGCCAACATCGTGAAACTGTCTCTACAAAAATACAAAACTTAGCCAGGCATGATGGTGGACACCTGTCTACTCGGGAGGCTGAGGCAGTACAATCTCTTGAATCCAGTAAGTGGAGGTTGCAGTGAGCCAAGATGGCACCACTGCACTCCAGCCTGGGTGACAGAGTGAGACTCAAAAAAAAAAAGGAAAAAAAAAAAAGATTAATCTGCAGAAGGCTGAGTGAAATACAACAATGTAATTCAGTTTTATTTCACATATTCATACAGACAGAATTAGTTGATACACACACACTGGTGTACATAGTGTGTGTGTGTGTGTGTGTGTGTGTGTGTGTGTGTGTGTGTCTCACAGTTATTACTATGTAACAAATTGATCCAAATTTGTGGCTTAAATGGCAAACGTTTATTATCTCCCAGTTTCTGGATCTCAGGGATCTGGAAATGAACTAGGGTGGTTCTAGCTCAGGGTCTCTCATGAGTTTGCAGTCAAGATGCCAGCTGGAGCTTAAGTCATCTGAAGGTTTGACTGGAACTGTAAGGTCTGCTTCCAGGCTCACTCACATGGCTGTTGACAGGAGGTTTTAATTCTTCACTGGCCCTTGGCTGGAGCCCTCATTTCCTAATCCAGGTTTTTCCCATTCCAAACCCTTATATCTTCTCCAGCCCCGACTGATCCATGTTGCCTCCACATTTTAATAAGAGGCAACATAGGTTGAGATTGTGTAGTGGGCCAGTATAGTGGCTCATGCCTATAATCCCAGCATTTTGGGAGGCCAAGGTGGAAGGATCACTTAAAGCCAGGTGTTTGAGACCTTCCTGGACAATATAGTGAGACCTGTCTCTACAAAAAATTTAAAAATTAGCTGGATATGATGGAGTGTGCCTTGTAGTTCTAGCTACTTGGGAGGCTGAGGCAGAAGAATCGCTTGAGCCCAGGAGGTCAAGGTTACAGTGACTGCGCAACTGTACTTCAGCCTGGGCAACAGATTGAGACCCTGTCTCAAAAAAATGCAAATAAATACACAAAAGATTCTATGTAGCTTAGATTATTATGCTGACTTGTGCTTTCCCAAATGTTAGCCAACTTCAATGTGGATCAAGCACTATTTTGTGGATCAAGCGCTATTTTGTTATTATCTGGCCCTATAAGATTATAAGAATTCTACATAGGTAAGAGGCTGAGTTACCCACTGGGGAAGAGATTTCAGCAAGAAACTTCCTGATCCTTGGCAGGGTGTGGTGGCTCACGCCTGCAATCCCAGCACTTTGGGAGGCTGAGGCAGGCAGATCACTTGAGGTCAGCAGTTCAAGACCAGCCTGGCCAACATGGTGAAACCCTGTTTCTACTAAAAATACAAAAATTAGCCAGGTATGGTGGCACACACCTGTAATCCTAGCTACTCAGGAGGCTGAGGCTGGAGAATCACTTGAGCACACAAGACGGAGGTTGCAGTGAGCTGAAATCGCGCCACTGCCCTCCAGCCAGAGCAACAGAGTGAGACTCCATCTAAAAGAAAAAAAAAAAAAAAGAATTTGATCCTGAGAATACCAGGAGAGTAATCCAATAGTGGCCCAGCCAAAGACAGGATTTCAGTAAGAACTCACCCTTTGTCCATTTGTCAGAAATTCTACACGGAGGAAAAATCTAACCAGTACCCAAGAGGAAAACCTTCAGTGAGATTGGTTCTTCATAAGCAATTCAGAAAGTCCATATGAGAAAAGATCCTGTTAACTAAACTAGCTATGGGAACCCTCAGTAGGAAAGGTAGCCCATAAGTATTCCTTTGAGTTTCCTTAATTTTACAAGGGTCCATAATTCCCCATATCCCCCCATATAATCAGCCTGGGTTGAGAGTCCCTCTTTTTTATAATCACAGAACTCTGTGCATACCTCTACATTAACTCCTGGACTTCTGACTTTCATGTTTACCCCACAAACCATAAGTTCCTTAGGAGAGGACCTGGCACATACTAGATAATCAATGTTTCTTGAAAGTTTGACTGAATGACTCATTACCTTACACAATTTGCCAAATTTAACACAGTCAATTGCTTCAAAGGTGAAAGTGACCTGAGGCTGCTGTCTGTTATTCCCTTGCAGTCAGCCATGTAAATGTGACTGAGATTTGGATAATTCTTGTCTATAAATTTGAAGGATGCATCAGTAATCCTTTTATTTCCTGTTTTTAAAAAAGAGAAGAAAAGACAAGTATTGTATTTGTAATGCCGCAAGAGTAAAAGTAAATGATAATGCGGAACCATGTTTTTAATATAACAGACCTTCGAATCGGATCTTTCTGAGTTTACAAGTAGACAGAGCTTTGAAAGTACAATCAGAGATATGCGGTGCACCAGTGAAAACCATCGATGTAATATGAGAGCACTTTTCAACTAAAGCCTTCAGAAGAAAAAATTATTAAATTAATCAAGTGTTCAGAACAGGTTTAGTAAGGTAATAAAGTCATTTTTTCCTTCAATATATTAGAAACAGACATGTTAACTATTAATTTTCCTAATCTCAAAGAAAATTAGATTTTTCAATACATGTTTATACACTTACATTTGAGTAATGTGGAGAAATCAGAATTAAATCATGTACTAAGAGTATGGGAAAACATGAGAAATTGACTACTGAAAAAAATTACTACATTTGGCAGCTTAACATGGAGAACTAAACTCAAAGTTTGTGCTTAGGCTATAACATCACTAAAAAAAATCCTAACTGTGAAATAAGGTGCCTTAGGATATTTAAGGATTCAAATGTTTTCAAGGGTATGTGGGTGTGTGAAAACTTTTAAATGATTGTATTACTATTAAAAAATAACTAAAATGAAAAGTCCACTCATATTTTTCATTTTTCATTTTTTTATAGGACATTCATTTTTCTTATAGGACAGAGAAGAAGATATACTTTCCAACTACCTACCTTTATACAGTTGTCCGTCAGAGTTGGCATGTCATTAATGGTAAGATGAAGAATTCCAGTGCAGCTGTTTGCAATGTACCTGAAGCCTTGGACTGAAATCTGAATTGCACAGAGTAGAAAATAATGAAAGAATGCATTAGCATGATAAAAACCCAAGGTAGTAATAACCAAAGATATGTCATAAATATGTTACTGTGTTTTAAAATTTTTAAATTAACCATCAAATATGGCAGACACAAGAAGGAAAGAATCTAGTCTTGATTACTTTATTTTTTAATATTTTATTGAGGTAGAATTTACATAACAAAAAACAAGTCACCTAACCCAGGCACAGTGGTGCATGCCTGTACTCTCAGCAACTTGGGAGGCTGAGACAACGGGATCGCCTCAGCCAGGAGTTCAAGGCCAGCCTGGGCACCACAGCAAGAGCCTGTCTCTTTAAAAAAAATTTTTTTAATTTTAAAAAACAACCACTTATATGTTATTTAATTATTCATAATGTTGTGCAACCAGAACCTACCTATATGTAGTTCCAAAACATTTTCATCATTCAAAAGGAAACCCTGTATCTATGAAGCAATTGTTGCCTATACTCCTTTCCTCCTGGCCCCAGCATCATTAATCTGTTTTGTCTCTGTAAATTTACCTATTCTGAATATTTCATATAAATGGAATTATATAATATGTGGCCTTTTGTTCCTGGTTTATTTCACTTAGTGTAAGGTTTTTGAGGTTCATGCACATTGTACCATGTATGAGCACCTCAATCCTTTTTTTTTTTTTTTTTTGATACGGAGTTTCGCTCTTGTTACCCAGGCTGGAGTGCAATGGCGCGATCTCGGCTCACCGCAACCTCCGCCTCCTGGGTTCAGGCAATTCGCCTGCCTCAGCCTCCTGAGTAGCTGGGATTACAGGCACGTGCCACCATGCCCAGCTAATTTTTTGTAGTTTTAGTAGAGACGGGGTTTCACCATGTTGACCAGGATGGTCTCGATCTCTTGACCTCGTGATCCACCCACCTCGGCCTCCCAAAGTGCTGGGATTACAGGCTTGAGCCACCGCGCCCGGCCCTCACCTCAATCCTTTTTATGAATAATATCCTACTCAGTGGAAAAGCCACATTTTGAAAATCCATTAATCTGTTAATGAATATTTGGATTGTTTCCATCTTTTAGATATTTTGACTATGTATATCTATTCGTTTGAATATCAGGTTTCAATTCTTTTGGCTATTTAGGAGTAGATTTGCTGGGTCATATGCTAATTCTATGCTTAACTTTTTAAGGAACCACCAAAATGTTTTCTATAGTGGCTGTACCATTTTACATACCCACCAGCAATCTATAAGGGTTCCAATTTCTCCACAACACCAACACTTATTTCCCATTGAAACAAATTTCCTTGTGGACTTGAAGTGGTACCTCATTTGCATCCCCTTAATAAATAATGATATGAGTATCTTTTCATGTACTTGCTAGCCATTTGTATATATTCTTTGGGGAAATGTCTATTGAAGTTATTTGCCTATTTTTTTTTAGTTGGGTTGTCTTTTTGTTGTTAAATTATAAGAATTCTTCATATATTCTGGATACCAAGTCCTTATTAGATGTATGATTTGAAATTATCTTCCATTCTGTAGGTTGTCTTCTCATTTTTAAAATAATGTACTTTGATACATAAACACTTTTAAGTTTGATGAAGTTCAGTTTATCTATTTTTGTTTGTTGTTCATGCTTTTGGTGTCACATTTAAGAATGTATTGCCAAATCCAAGGTTGTGAAGATTCAACCCCTATTTTTTCTTCAAAAGAGTTTAATTATTTTGGCTTTCATATTTAGGTTATTGGCCATTTGTGTTAATTTTTATATATAGTATGAGGTAGGGGTCCAACTTCACTTTTTTTATGTGGATATACAGTTGGCCCAGCATCAATTGTTGAAGAGAATATTCTTTTCCTCACTGAATTGTCTCCGCACCCTTTTCAAAAATCAATTGGCCATAAATGTATAGATTTATTTCTCAACTCTCAATTCTATTCCATTGTTCTATGTCTATCCTTCTGCCAGTGCCATACTGTTTCGATTACTGTAGCTTTGTAGTACCAATTTCTTTTCAACTATCATTATCCATGTTAATGGAAAGAGCAGTGGCAGAGAGTGGTCAAAATAATGACTGATTCAAAGATCAAAATATTTGCCTATGATGAATTACCTTATGATAACTTGTTATTTAGGCTGCATTTCCTGTAACAAATGGACATGGATGGGAAATCAGATTGTGTTCAGATTCAGTAGAGGGAAACTGAGATGCCGCCCAAGAGCAGACAGAATGGGAACTCCTTTGGAGGGTCATCTACATAAGAGCTTGACAGGGAGAATGAGGAGCAGCAGCTACAATGGACCTCTAGGGAGATCTTTGGAGACTTCATGTGTGCCACCTCTCACTAAAGGTGACTTCCAAGATTCTGTCATCAGAGCCTCCACCTATTCAAAAAGGACTAGCCACAAGTTAGGAAACTGAGTGGCATATCCTCAGACAACCAGAGCTCAACTGAAATGTCACTTCCATAGGAAGTATCCCTGACCCTTAAATTAGACCAGTTTCTTGTTATATACTTACATCACCATGTAATTATCATAACTACAATTATATTCATTTTATAAATGATTAGTTATTAAATGAATCCCCTGTATACAGTTCCCAGCATGGTGCCTATAACATCAACTGATGATATAACTGAGTAATATTATTACATGAATAAATGGAAGAATGTATGAATGACTTCTGAGAACCATGTCTATTCAGTAGGTTCCCCTTCCCAGCAGAGACTAATAATATGAACTCCCAGACAAAGGCGAAGGGAATTTTTGTAGCTACTGAAATAAAAAGTAAAGAAAAAAAAGCTAAGGGAAGCCCTTGTAACCAGGGACTGAGCATGCAGGCCTGATTTGCTACAGAAACCAGGTCTTTGGGTGAGATTCCATTTTGACAATTTTTCTACATTTCTACTATTTTTCTATTGTGCTACAGAAGCCAGGCCTTTGGGTGAGATTATACTTGAACAATTTTTATAAATAGCCTTTGGGAAATATGTTTCTAAAGCCTGAATGTATCTAATTTATGGCAATTCATAGGATGGAGTGCAATACAGTTACAAGTTAATGTTTCAGGAGAAGAACTGAGCTCATGAGATAATTTAAAAGAAAAAGTTGATCATATAAGGCCTTGCTACACAAAATGTGGTCCACAGACCAGCAGCATAGGTATTACATGGGAGCTTGCTCAAAATACAGAATCTTAGCCCACCACCACTGACTTAGAGGCTGCACTTAGACAAGTTATTCACACCCAGATGATTCACACACAGTCATGACAGTTTGAAAAGTGCTAATCGAGAGGAAATGAGTAAAAAGAAAGTATATCAGTCAGGGTTCTCCAGAGAAACAGAACCAATAGGATATACTTATATTCAAGTATATGCATACACACACACACACAAATATATATATATGGAGAGAGAAAGAGACAGAAAGAAAGATGTATTTTAAGGAATTTCCCATGTGATTGTTAGGCTGGCAAATCTGCAATTGGTATAGCAGGCTGGTAGGCTAGAAACTCAGAATTTCTACATTGCAAGTCTTGCTGCAGAATGTCTCCTCTTCAGGAGACCTGTCTTTGTTCTTTTTTTTTTTTTCCATTTATTTTATTGCATTTTAGGTTTTGGGGTACATGTAAAGAACATGCAAGATTCTTGATCCAAGATGGCCGTTTAGGAACAGCTCAGGATTGCAGCTCCCAGTGAAAGCGCAGAGGGTGAGTGGACGCCGCTTTTTATTACCCACAGACTAGGAAATTCCCAGGCGGACGAACTCCACAGGTCACCAGCGTGGCTGTTTCGGCCAGCGCGGCTGTGCCGGCCGGCGCCGCAGCTTTGCCCCGCGCGGCTGCTTTATCGGGGCCCTGGAGCAGCGGTTCAGGTGCCCTTTTGGCTGGCGATTGGAGGACTGAGCAGGGAACCAGGACAGTAGATTCCAGGGCAAAAAATAAAAATAAAAAAGCGCCACAAACCTCAGTGCCGCTGTTTAAGCCAGCGCAGTGAGTGGCCGCAGGGGAAAACAGACCCCGGCACCTCTTCAACAGGCGACTGGAACACCAACTTAAAAAAGGCTCTGAGGCAGGGAGCCAGGCAATCAGGCTCGGTTGGTCCCACCCCCACAAAAGAACAGCAATCAGAAACTCTGGATTGAGAGTTTCACAGCAAGCGCAGCTGAACTCGGGACGGTCCAGCTCTGTGGGGGAGGGGCGTCCGCCATTACCGAGGCAGCCCGCCACGACGACGGAGGTAGTCGGCCAATGCTGAGGCAGCCCACCGTTGCCAAGGCAACCCGCCATTGCTGAGGCAGCCGGCCGTTGCCAAGGCAACCCGCCACAGCGAGAGACTCCGCCTCAACAGAGGCAGGCCACCATCGTCAAAGCAGTTCTAACTACACCCATATAAACAGGACTGCAAGGAAGTTCACTCGGCAGCTGGGCGGAGCCCACAGCAGATCAGCAAAGCCTCTAGAGGCTGACAGTGACTAGGCTGCCTCCTTGCTGGGCAGGGCAGGTCTGAAGGAAAAAAAAAAAGAAGGCAGCAGCATAACGGAAACTCATAAATAAAGCCCTAAATCCCTGGGACAGAGCACCTGGGAACAAAAAGCAGTTTATGAGTTCTGCTGCAGCAGACCTAAACGTAACTGCCCAGCAGCTCTGAATGAACAACAGAGCTCACAGCTCACCATTTGAGCTCCTATAAAGAAAAGACCGTCTCCTCAAGCAGCTCCCTGACCCCTATATATCCAAAGAGACACTTCATAAGGGAGAGATCAGATTGACACTAGGCGGGTATCATTCTGGGACAAAGATAACAGAAGAAGAAAACTGGTAACAACCCTTACTGTTCAGAAGCTGCTGCAGGTGAACCCCAGGCAAGCAGGGCCTGGAGTAAACCTCAGCAGACCTACAGCAGAGGGGCCAGACTGTCAGAAGGAAAACC